AAGTTCGTGACGATTTGTACGACTCTGACGTCAATTTTCGGGGGCACAGACTCGAAGTAGAGTAGTTTAGTAGGGTCAGGTGATCCGTCTAATCTACTCTACTTCGAATTTAAACTCCAATGGTAGGCGCAAGTCATTCAAATCGTTACGAACTTCGTCGCGCAATTTGCCGCGCGCATCCTTGGACGCCCGTTCGTCCACATACCCGTGAGAAAACGCAAAAATCGGCGTATTCAGGGAAAAAATAAGACTTCAAAAATGTTGCAAAGTTGGGGGTGGACGATACAGTGGCGATAGGTATTGCATGGAAGGAGTATTGGAACGAGCTGTTCAGATGTATGTGCCTTTGCGCACAGTTGCCTACAGTAAGCTGCCTGCGTGAAACTTGTACGCCTAGGTGCGAATGATGCAACCTCTGCAGCCTCTATAACGCCGTGAGGTTCGCACGTCTTTTAGTGTGTACGTCAGCTAAGCCGGTTTTGAACCTTTTTAGGCCATATCTGGGCCTTTTTTCGATCCGGCAGTCCCTTGTGCTACATTTGGTTTCACAAGTTGATTCCAAGGAGAAGTCTCAAAAACCGTTTTATTGTTAGCTGCCCCTTTGAAACGATTGAGGACTATTTTGTGCATAGTTTGACATTAAAATCAATGTTTATTTATTTATTTGTTTTTTATGTAATATAAGGAATAAACAGGAAATAAACTCTTTTCACTGTACTGCTACTGATATATTTATCTTTTGAACCACTATGAAAAGACGGCACGAAAAAATCTCACGGACCAGTTTCACATTTGATGGTCTTTTTATCCACTGTATTTTCTCAAACATCAATTCCACTTCTCTTCTGAAGTTTTTCCTGCCTTTTTTGCCTTAATTTCTTTGAGGTGAGACCTTCCATTTCAGAAAGGCTTCGTTTGTATTCGAGTTTTTTCTTCCAGCAGGTCCGTGATGAAACTTCCGGTCGGCTGTCTTTGCGTTCAGGAGCGCGAGACGGTTGGGAGCTCATCCGGTTTTTGAGCTCCGCATACGCCACCCTTCCTTCAACGTCTTTTCAAACCGGACCGTCAGAGCTCATGCTCTATCATCGATCGAGACCTGTCTCAAAAAATATTGATTCTCTTTGAATGCCTTATATTTTATTAGATGAATTCTTTTGACCGTGTCCTCTGAGAAAGTTTGCTGTCTCGTCATCTCAATTCGTTAATGGCCTTTCAAAACATGCTCGAATTTGTGATTATACTCAAGAGCCCCCATTTAAAAGACGGTATGCTAGTCCGAGTGTATTCTGCATGCTTTCAAATTAGATTTTCTTTGATATTCGATATGTTATTGACTTTGTACTTTGTTGTAATAACACTGTTATAATTGTATTTATTTGCAGCTTATGTTCCTGAAAAGGAATTTACAAGTTTTCATGTTACACGCATAAACCTTTCTCAGAACAGTTTTAGATAACGCTCAATAACAGCAATGTAGCTAGCGGTGCCTTACTAAGGATTCTTCTCGTTCTTTTTTGTATTCTTTATCTTCTCTCTCGTATGAGCATAGACACCGTTCGAAGGCTGTTCTTGTTAGTAAGAAACTTATCTAATTTTGAAAAAGGGCAATTTTTAATCGCTATATACTCATCACACTGCCCTTGACTACGAAGCGGAATCATGAAGTAATTTTTGATCTTTGATTTCGGCGACTTTTTAAAATTCTTATTCTATTTCATCTGTTGGCAAGTACCCTCCTTTACAGTATAGGGGATTTAGATAGGCTCTGGAAGGAACCCATAGATTTATGAGCGCTTGACCTTTGATCTTAAGTGTTTCACTGTTCAATGTATATCCCTTTTTTCTCGACAGGTCGGTTACCTCTCGAAAGGACCTGGTTTGTAGGGCTTGTATGGATGGTGGACATCTTCAAAATAATTTACTTTGGATATTGGCCCTTTCTATAGAAACGAGTGACATTAGCTCGAGGTACGAAATGACCGCGATGCTATCTTTAGAAGATTGAAGGTTTTTTCTTCGGCCATGATCGAGAACGGAACCGGTGCATTCGTTTGTATAAGGGGTTAGAGGTGGTGCTCGAGAGCTGAGTGCAAATCCCGTGGCTGGCTTAGGGTGGGGGAACAAGTGAAGAAGCCGTTCAGTTTTTACTTGATTTTCGCTTTTAGCATTCCAGGACAATTTGGAGACGACGAAACCACCGAGGCGTGTCAGTGGGATTATCCAAAAGGCGCTGGGTTATAGTTTCGGGAGCTTCTCTTTCTTTTTAGGATGTACTGGAATAAAATGTGAGACGATTGCTATTTTCCGACACCATCAAAGATGAAATCACCTTGATGAATTCACCAGACGTGTCAGTGGGATTTCTCGCTTTGTTTCATGTTTTGAAGAGCTCTACTTATTTCCTAGAATGTTCCGGAACAATCATTGATTCCCTCCAGTGCTGTCAAGATTCTAAGCCACCAGATTGTGCTTAATCTGGTAGAGAGCTTCAGGACACCCATCTGCCAGGCATACTGTGCCTGTGCTGAGTCACTTAGACGACCACGCATTTGTCCCGAACATTCCTTTTTTCCTGGGCCTAATTCTTTCCTTTTTGCCCATGGATTCTATTTCACTTCATTTTGGTCGGATGCCATCTTAGGTTAAACCTTACCCTCGTCCTAACTTTCGAATCGATTGAACCTCAGGTTTAGATTTCCTTCTCAAATCTTCCATCCCGTTCCCCCGCCGTGCGTAGTCGCACGCTACGCGCGCGCGAGCAGTTTTCCCGCACAATTGACTCCTTGTTGCAAAGTAGGGGCTTTTATGTGGGCCTAAATTTCTAGCGTGTTGTGGTTATCGCTTCATACTCCTGTCAAAAAGCTGTTGATTATCTTTTGATAACATTTTGCAACTATTTCAGTAGAATTTGGGGTCAATACTTAGCGTTGGTTCATGTTTAAGCAGGGCAGATTAAGAGATACTTGATTTCTTGGGGCCATTTCGTTTGATTGCCTTTAACAGGGTGTTACTTATCATTGTTTCTAGAACACCTTCCTCTTGTAATGGATTCAATAAATATTTCACGACTGGTATTAGATAAAATCACATAGGGATTCGGTTTTGGTTTAAAATCTTCATCTAATCGAGCTTTTGCTTCATACTTCTTTTAAACAACATAAATTGGCCTTTGTTACCATTTTATGATCAGAATAATAGGACTCGGATCATTCCTGAATTCAGACATACTTGTTGATGCAGACGCAGCCCCGAGGCCGCTGTGTTTGATTACCCTTCCCGAAACGTGGCCTCATTGTCTCTTGGATACCTTTGCCCTGTCGTGAGCTCAGACTTCTTAAATCTCCCTAGTACTTTACATATTACCTACCACCTGAACTTGACCCTTATCGTTAAAACGGGAACTTTGTGTTCAGTTCACGTCATTGCTTAATAACTCGTTTTAATCTCATGATAGCCAAGAATATCGCCTTACTTCGGAGCGCAGCGCTATTTCAGTCATTATTTCGCGATTTTACTAGGACCAGTCGGATAGCCTCGCTTCCGTCGGACTTCACTCCTACTTGCTACAAAGTCAAAATACCGGCTGATTTTCCATCAGCCTTTTCTAAAACTATTACCCATTTTAGACACAACAGTTTTGGAGTGGATGGGATGTTTCCGGTTATCGCTCATGTCTATAAAAGCCTAATCTACTGCCCAACAGTGACAATCGGTTGAGAATTTAAATCTATCTTTTTGTTGCGTTTTCTGAGAAAATACGTACCTTCTATTTGTATCGCAAACCTTAAAGTGTGATCCGTAATTAAGTGGCAAAAATCCAACGAAACACCATCTTCCGTTCTCGTTATATGGTCTGTCTTTCATCGGTCCTTGTCACTACACATATCGTTCTTATCATCCTGCTCTACCATACCGTCTTAAACATAAGCACTACAAGGGTGAAGGACCGTATGCTGAAATCCCTGTCAGCTCTCATTAGTTGTGATCACTTCCATTCAGCACATAATACAAGCCCTTATCAACTGATATACATCGCTGTCACTAACTATTCACTATCCTTAAGAGTACTGTATGATCCATAGAAGTGTTAAATTTCCTCTGCTAAAACATGGCTCTTGCTTCTAAAACTCTTAATCACCCTCTATCAGCTGTTATTAATCCTGTCGCCGGGTATCTTCACACAACTCATCACCTGCCAAAATGCGAAGGTTCCACTGGTATGTGAAAGGTGCACTTTTTCAGTGGTTTTATATTTTGGCTCTTTTTGAGAGCTAGAGTGACCTACAACTTTTTGAATGTCTGATCTGCTCAGGTCTTTTTCCTATCCCAACCAGGTGTCAACCATTCCTACCCTGTTCTAGGAGT